TTCACTTTGGCCAGTCCTCCTTTGGCCAGCAGGACAACTGCTGCCGTTTCCTGCCACTGGCCATTGGCTTACCGCCCCCGACTTTTCCCAGTCGCCCCTTTCCATCTCGATTTTGTGCTGGCACTTTTCAACTTCGCTTTTGCTGGAGCAGCTGCTGTTTATGCCTTTTCAGCTACGGAAAAATGCTCAACACGATTTTCGCTGTTGATTTACGTTTTAGCACGTTTTTCGTACAGTTAAGCTGCCGTTTTTCCCTATTCCACCCCATTTTTTAGGTTCATCCTGACAGGTTGCACTCTGCAGCTTTCCGCCATTTGAATGTGCTGTTTCACTTTTCCTTTTGCAATTTAATGAGCAGCTCTTTTTATCGCCACTGAGATTTGTCCCTGACTCTTTTGGCCTTAATCCAGCAGGACGGCGCCTGCCATTCTCTCGCCTTCTGGCCATGTAAAGTGAACCCCATTCGGCGGGGCTTAGCCTTTGCATTCGTAATTTATATATTTAAGTTTTGCCTTTAATTTGTTTTTTAGCTCTTGTTCGGAGTGTGTGTCAACATGGCTTAGCTGACACACAGCCTCCATTCTCAGCCCTCGACGGTGGCTGTCAGTCAGTCAATTCGTCAGCTTCATTCAGGATATGGCGTCCGAGATTCTGTTTGTCCTGCGGACACATCCACCTGCACCCATTGGCCTCTTTGTGCAAACGCGGGCAACCATTCAATTTGTCAGGCTCGACGGCGGCAGGTTCCCGCCAAAACCTAAACTGCCTTTTGAACTTTGTGCAAACAAAACGCACCGGGGAAATGTCCGAGCTGAACAGTGCCAGCCTCTTTCAATAAGCCCACCGAGCGGGCCCAACTCACAGTAGTGATTACCGTTTTAATACCCATTAATATTGGGAAACCATAATGTTTTTGAATCACTAAAATATGAATAATTTAACTATGCCTTTAAAGTAAAGCTTGCAGCCACTAATCGATGAAACAAAAAATAATACCACCATAATATACTTACTCCCAAAATGCTCTTTAATACCCTAAATAAAAACAAAACATAAAAAATATAACGTTAAACACTATTTGAAAGCAAATTTAACAGAACTCTTTTAGTAATTGTATTTATTTACTTTGTTTTTGAGATTGCACTTTAGCCTGCAGGAAAAATCAAATACGAAATTTAAATGCAGAATTCGATGGGTCAACATTTTCAACTCTGGTAAATCGTCTTCAAAAACGCCCAATCTGCAATGCAGTCGTTTTCCACCGTGGGAAGAGAGATTACGGCTTGTGGTGACGGTGAGTTAGCCAGGTCTATAGCAGCTTTCACCTTCCCATTCTCCGGCATAATCTCGACGGGCTCCGGAAACCAAATGGTGGTCATAAACAAAGGACACACACAAAAGAAACCTTTTGGCCAGACGTGCCGCCTACTCGATTTTCGGCAATGCTGGCAAATAAACTTATGATACAGTGGATAAAAACGTCAAAAAATACAGTACAATTTTGGACATTCACACAAATTATTCGGTCTTTGAGAAATTCAAGAACAATTTTTTGCTTTCTAAATTAAAACTTGGAGTTTTGATATTTTATAAAAAACGTAGCTTTTTATTTAACCTTTGACAGACTATTTTTGTAAGATGTTATAAATTGTGTAAAATTAATTTTCCTTTAAATTCATCTATGGAATACATTCAACATCAGACTAAAAACGATATTTTTCCTACTTCAAAAATATGTTATTATCCACAATTTTGTATTTTCTCCCCACTGTAAGCTGCTTAGGTCTTTGCCAAGCTTTTCTTACGTTTCCCTTTTTATGGGCCCATCTTTTTTGTTGGCCATTTTTTCCGTTTACTTGGCTCGGGATTTTTTCGGGGGGCGGACGATGGCTGGAACTCCAGGAATACTTTGGCTGGCCGTTTATTGTCGTTTATTTGTCTTTTTGCCATTTTTATATTTACGCATATAATCGCCTTCAACGCTTGCCGGCGCCCTGGGAGATGGTTTGGCCAGGACGTGGGTCTTGACGGCGCTTATAAATATGATGTTATCGCTTTTTATGGTCCACTTTTATTGCCGGCAATCAGTCTTGCGTTTTGTTTGCTGATTGCCTCACATTATTCAAATGTATTTGTTTAATTCCCGGGGATTGGCAGCCACAAATCATTTTAAATCCGCAATATGTCAACAAATACTTGGACAACGAGCACATTGTTTTTTTTTCTCGTACCCCAGATGGTTCTTGTGCGGGCCATTATGGCGGCTTATAGCCATCGTCCAGGACACTTTGCGGCCTATTACAAGGACTCTCAACCATATGCTTGCCACCCACGAAGCCTAATCAGCAGCGAGCTCATAATCACATTGCGTATACGTAATTAGTTTAGCGTTTGACAAGGCCAGCAAATCTTCACTGCCCGCCGAGTTCTATTTCCATAGCCCCCACGTCCTGCGAACGCTCCACAAACTGATTATACTTGCACTTTGTTGACAAACGAGCTGATTAAATGCCGGCTCTCGGTCATTATGCAATTAACCGGCAACTGACTCTGTGGGCCGCCTTTATTGCCCAACACCCAGCTGTGAGTGCGAGCCTGGGTGTGCGTGCGGTTAATAAGGTGGCCGAAGGCAGTGGGGCCTGTTTACATTAAAGCTTAAGTGCCAAAACAAGATGATTATATTGAATTTTGATTACCGATGGTTTCAACAGGAAGTTTGATTAAATAACAGCAATGGAAGCTAGCTTTGGGCGGTGTTTTAGCCTAAACAGTGTACTTAAAACAGGCAAGAAAAGGTAGGTAGTTGCCCGTTAAAAGATGTCAGCAAATCATTGGGAAAAGTGTTAGTTATGCTTACAGTGTAAGTAAATAGTTGGAGGGAATTTAGGAGTTCCCTAAATATGATCATTTTTATATTTTTAGTTATCACAAATTGAATATTTGCAGGGTAAAACAGAAATCTCCTCCAACTAAACTCTGTACGAAATAAATATTTAGGGATTCCTTAGTCCGTTAGCAAGTATGTTTATCGTACATCACCATCATCAAATAATTGCAAACTTTACTACAAACCCAACAGGTTAGCAACTGTTAATCAGGAATGCATTCTGAAGCTGGTAGCATATGAAATGCCTTGCGCAAATTGTTTACTTTTTGTCATAGAGTGAATGCCAACCAGATTCCCAGAAAATCCGACACAGAAAACCCAAGCCGTAGAATGCCATGAATTTGCGCACTGGGAATAGAGGAGGGGGGCGGTACGAAAAAGTGTCTAAGAATGCAAAGCAAATATCTACCCGACAATATATGTACTCATATGCTCAGTGAAAACAGAGGAGACCGCAGAACGAATTGCAGATGCGGCAAAAGTGCATTTCGCCAACTTGGCAGCCAAATGAACTCGAAGTGAACCCGAAGTACACATGTTAGGAGGATACTTATTGTGTGTCCCGACCAAAAATCCCCAGCCTGTGTAACAAATTTTCGCCTTACATGGCGAGACAATAGTTCAATTCCACGTTCGATCTGATCGATGACGCGATGCTGGAAACTCATTAAGAACTTTAATTAAATCGAGAGACGGCGAGTGCGAGGATGGCAGTGCAGCGGGAAAACTCATTATTCATAACGACACGAAGGCACGGGACGGAAAATCTGGGTCCATCTGGAGTGGAGTGGAGATGGAGATGGCAGCTGCAACAGCTCAAGTCAGCTTGCCCCCGAAGCGTGCTGCAAATAAAAACAAAATATGTGCGAAAATGTGTCGGAAAGTGAGCGAGAACATAAAACACGCCAGCCAGCAGAAGCATCCGCCTTCCCAAACTGCAGTTCGTCCTCCTTCTTATGACTTATGTTGCCAGCTCGTCGGGCTCGGGACTTCGGGACGGAGATCCTGCGGACTGGCTGACGGGTCCTTGAGGTGTTGGCCATGGCTCCAGTCACCTGACAGCATCTGCGCTTAAGCTGCGCTTAACGTTTTAATAAATGATTGTGACAAACGCAGTAGATTGGATCACGGGCAGGTGGAACTATGCAAATATAATTGCGGCTTGCTCACTTAAGGTAGGGGGAGCTCGACACAGTCGAAGACATTTATTTAAGGAGGTTAAAAAACACTGTAAGCTATCGGAAAGTATTATGTTTTGTCAAAAACGGTTGTAGGGAATGTTTATACTATGTAAATAAATTACTTATGGTTGAAAGAAATAATAATAATTAAACATAATATTACACAACATTTAATTCTGATTTTTTAAGGATTGTATGGATAAAACTTATATAAAATAAACAAGATTTAATTTCTGTTAATCACTGTGGATGGCAGTCCACGTAGTGACGAAGCGCACTAGGAGAGTGTGCGAAGGCGACTTCTATATATACATACAAGAAAAAATTAAAATCTACTTTGATAGTTCGATCGTAACAAGTTAGGCCTAGTATTCAACCTAACAAAAACTCGTCCAAAACCAAAAATTATATATAAATAAAACGTCACAAAAATTTTGTGACTTTTTTTCGGCAAGCTGCAATTCAATATTCCTGAAGAAATATATAAAAATTGTTTTCATTCAGTAGATCGTATAATACATTTTCGTCACAATACTTGACATCAAAACTTTTGTTTGTTGAAGGTGCGATCGTCACTAGCTAAATTCCTTATTTATTCGGAAAATATTTATCAAAAGGTTTTAAGTCGATAACAAATGTAACATATTAATGTAAAATAATATAAAGCATAGTAGAATAATAAAAATAGTTCTGAAACATCAAGAATGTATCGTATTTTAAGCTTTCTCGGTCAATAAACCGTTTGGGCTTTCGGGTGCAAGTGCAACCAAGGTCCACCCCATCCTGAATTAAACATGCTACTGCCACTCACTCAACTCGTTCACTTGCCAAACAGCAGTCACTCAGCTCGGCGATGTGACAGTGGAAAATTAAAGCACATGCAAATTGCATGACCATCAAATGGGCCCGCACTGTGCAGAGCATTACTCATACGCCCCGTCAGCGCTTCGATGGCTGGCGACATCTTGCCGGCGGAAGACGGGCGAACGGAGCGAAACAGCCGGGCGAAACGAGTCGTAAGTGAATTTATTTCAAACAATTATGTAGCAATTAACAAACAGATGACGGCAATTAAACTGCAGCCAGACGGAGGAGGGCAGGGGGACCGAAGTCGAGTTGTGTCAAGTGCAGCAATCGACAGCCGCCAGCAGTGAACTCCACTCGTGAGTGCGTTCTGCATTATTCAGGCAATATTTCACACACTTACGCGTCGAGAAATGCACTTCATGCCCTGCCGTTCATTGCCGGCTGGTTAATTTTTCAATAATTCAATCGGCCTCTCGTTCTTTTCCCGGGCAGATTACGTATGCGCCGCGTTGTCTTCCGCATGGTCTCAAGTGCCCCAGTGGTCGATCATTTTTGGATATGCCGTTGAAATCACTGTTTTTCGCCCACTTCTACGAGGAGCATGCATTTCCGGGCAAACAGTTCCGGCCGCAGAAACCACTTTACAAATTAAGTTGTCAACAATTTCAACCATATCGCAACGATTTAATCTTCACACCTAAATTATTTATGGAAAAAGCCACGTTTTGCGCCCAGTCACACATATAGAAACCCCCCCCACCACCTCACTAATACAGTCACACACACAAATGCCTTGTTAGCCGTCGCTCATGCAATAAAACGTTCAGCTGTTGTTGTTCTGCTGTTGAGCCTTTTGTTTAATAAATTATGTAAAATGCGCCAAATTGAATTTGAAATTCATGCAGCCTTTCGCCTGGTTATGGGAATTAAGATATGTCGACAGTCAGACAGAGTGGTCACGAGGGGGGTGGAGAAAGGGGTGAAAAAGGGGGCCAGGAGGGCAGGAAAATGGGGAAATGGAAAATGGAACTGAGACACAGCCATTTTCAGTCTGCCACGTACAGACAGTTAACATATGCCTTGGATTTGGGATTGCGGGGAAAATGGCATTGTGTGTGTGGTTTGGGTTTGAGTTTGGGTTACGAATTCGTTTGGAATAGGTGTAAATTGCGCCGATTCAATTTAATGAGATAAATATTCAAATTTATTCATACCGCTGAAGCGGTTGAATGCATTGCTTTGATTTGTAACTAAATAAACTTCGTCTGTGTAGGTCATTAGGCAAATACTATTTGGACACGCCTCCCTTAAATTGCCTTAAATTATGTAGAAATGATTTAATTTGTAAAAATGTTTGTGAATAAATTGGAATTTTTTCAAGAAATTATAAATAATCATTTGCCATTAAAAGGTGTTCAATTTTTTTCGTTCAATTTATGAGCTCATATTAAAATGTTTTAAGTTTTTCTTTTGAAATTGCTATGTGCACAGAAAAGTAGAATACAGTTTATTAGATATATTTTGTGCTATTTAACCTTGACTTGAATGTTTTTGATCAAATTTTGTAAAGTTTATTTTTAAAGATTAAAGTTTTACGCAGGTGTTCACCTCAAGAAGTCTTTAAAATCAACCCTGAAATCGCAATGCCAGATTTCAGAAAAGTTTCATCCTAACTGCCTTAAGTGGGCCATAAAGCCAAGAAATGCCAAGAAAACTGCTCAGACGGAACAACTTTTAGAATATAAAAATGAATGGGAATGCATAAATGTGGTCCCAGCATGCAATCGTAAACATAATTTACTCTCATCTCGGCCCGAATTCATGGAAATAATAATTAGGGGCTGGATCACAACAAAGGCCCAGTTCTTGCTGTCCCAGAATTATAAATGAAGTGTGAACAAGAGTTTGTGGCTACTCCCTTTTTTTGCCGGACCACGACCGGAAACAAAGGAAAAAAGTGCTCCATTCGAGACATTATTAAAAGTTTTTCTTTTCCCCCTTTTTGGCGGGCTTCTTTTGGGGGCAGTCATTTACATTAACATCCTTTCATCCTGTGTTGACAAAAATATCAAAATGAAATTGCTGCATAATTTGTTCTTTCCGCCCCGCGTCTCCATTGCTGTTTGCCGAGTGTCTTTGGGGAAACTTTTCTATTAATTTTTGTGGCCGTCATTTGGCGGCCAGCAAAGTGTAAATAAATACAACCAGCTCCACCCGCCGTTTCTTCGGCAATTCCTTATCTTGCGGACCGTCGAAGCGCAAACTTAAATTAAAATGTTGGCAGGACATTCGTTGAATTATTCAGTAACTTTGTGGCAAACTCTTTGGCTTTTTATTTAGCGGCCAACGAAAGGCAAACGAAAATTTTTCCCTTTCCTTTGTTTTTTCTTGTCATTTTGGCGACATCTGTTTTAATGTCTTTGAGGGATTTCACGTAGAACAAGCTCGTTTGGTAATTAAAAATCAACAGTGAAAGGGAAAGAGTTGGTTTACTTACTGGTAAAGTTGCTTACCCAGAATACTTGAAAAATTGATTTACAGATGCCTTGTTTTTCAAGCCATAGAGAATTTTTTTGAATTTATTAGAAAGAACAACCCCTCAGTAAATAAAGAAATGAAACATTTAAAAACAGCCAGTAACTTAAGTCTATCTTAAGATATAAATAATTTATCTGAACATTTTTGCAAGCCCTCAGAGAAGTATCAAATTACCAAATACTTTGGGAGGGCAAAGGCAAATTTGTTTCGGTACAGACCGTTTAACTTAAATTGTCTTAAATTTCAACAGGCTGTCGCCGAAGTGCCCGGCAGCAACAGCAGGCATAAAAAATGAATGTGGCCAACTTGACTCCAATCTGGGAAGTGGATGTGTAAGTGGATGGGACCCAGTTTCAGACTGACTGAGGTGGCAAAGGCCAGAAAGTCAAGCAGTCGGCTTTTCACTTTGCCCAGTGTGTCCTAGGGGCATAATTTCCCAATTGCAGGCTCATGTGCCGCACACACACACAGGGTTGTGGGAAATCCCTTTAGCCATCTCTCAGCATCTCTCTCGGCCCGGGATTCCCTCTTCAATCAAGCACAATGGGCCGTTGAATCGCTTAAGCGAATGCTTTCCCCACTCCAAACTCCAAGCGCAGGCACCCCCATAAAACAACAACACTTTGCCATGGTCAGTTACCAGTTACCAGTTACGCACCGGCCACGCCCACCAAGGACGCCCGTGGCGGAACGCCCCTTTGCAGACTGCCCTACTTGTTATTTATATTATGACCACTCACAGTTGTTGGCTCATTGTCATAAATTTCCCCAAGTGTTTGCCGTGCGGCCCATCCGGAAAAGTGAGAGTGGAAAAAAGGAAGAAAAGATTTTCTTGGCCGTGTGCGAAATGTTTGTTGTTTGTTTGTTTGCCTTGTTTGACAGTCGCCCGGGGGTCTTTGTAGGCAAACAATGGCAGCCTCTTGACCAATTTAATAAATTCTATAAATTGTTTATGTACGACTACCATTGATAGATGCAGGCTGACTTTTATCCTAAAAGTGTTGACAGTTTGAGTCAACCAGTCAAGTTGTCGGTAGTCAAGAAATGCGGGTCATGGGCCAACTATTTCACCCAATTCTATAGCTGTTCTTAAGCCAACCAATTGCTTCTGGAGCTCCAATTTAGACGGATTTAACTCTAATGCTCAGCACACTCGTTAAAAAGAGGCTTGCAATTTAATTACACCCCAGGCAAAGTGCGAGACCATATTCGTTTTGCACCTCGCACAGAAAGTTTTCAACACACCCGAATGGAAGTTTGAGGTGCTCGAACATTCTGGAGCAGCCACTAAGCGCATAATCTTGTAAACTTGGCAAAAATGCTCCAAATGCCATAACTAAAATAAGCAAGCTTCCACGGTGCGGTGCAGACGAGGATGCGGAGCAAAGGGAGTGAAACATATTATCCCGGAGGGCACAACCAGATTCCGAGCATGGCTTCTTTGCCAAAGTTTCTGCAATGGTGATGGTGCAAGTGCTTGATGCAAATTATTTGGCCTGGAGGTTAACTAGGGTCGTTTAGCAAATGCCTAACCCACAAAAAGACGCAGCACGATTAGAGATGAGCTCGTGAGAGACCAGGCTTAATGAAGACTATTTTCTCATTCAAAAACTTTTTTCTTTGGTAAGGGATTATAAGGCGTCCGATTTTAAGTGAAATTCTTTGGCAAACACACATTTTTCCCGAGAAAAGAAAATTGTTTCTTACTAGCCCTTTTTTAGGAAGGTATTTCTGACTTAACAGCAATAATAATTTAACCTGTTGTTATTATAACCTTCTTAGAGTTAACTAAAGAAAAAATCATTTATATTCGATTTATTTACAAGGCTTTAAAATGTCAATTATAAAAGCCATGTAAGTATCGAATCTGCTGACGGTCTATCTGTTTTTGAGTTTGGCTTGTAAAATTAGGAGTTCACTAAGGTTAAATGCTATATTTTGCACTCAACCCCTTACCTTTTGTAATACTATCTATATATATTTTTTAGTTTTGAAACTCTTTATTCCATTTTGTGTCTTTGCAACTCACGAAGTCATCTCCACTGCACGCCCACCGTCTTTTTATGAGTCCTGCATGCATTGGCATTCATGAGAGTGAGCCCAGTATTTTTGTGAGCCCAATGCCAGGGCGGTGGGTGGTGGGTAGTGGTGGGTGGTGACTGGGCGTACCCTAGGGCTAACCACAGTCTGAGCTGCAACTCCAAGCACAACAACAACGACAAGTACAATAAATGCCTTTCAACTGCGGTTTCACATGCACTTGAAGTGGAGTGGCGGTGAATGAAGAAGGGGTTGACTTGGGGTCGGAGTGCCTGAGTTTGGTGGGTTAAGGGGGGATCTGGCACTGGAACTGGTCTGGTGGCAGTGTCATAAGCTCAAGTGCTATTTGCAGAGAAGTGCGCCATACATCTGCAAAGCATAATAGTTGGTGGGGTGTCGGTCCCCCGTCTGTTTCATTCTTTGCGAGGCCTCACTTTACTAGGGCAGCTCCGTGTTGGGCTGCTCCTAATGAAACTTTATCCCCGGAGTGCTAAAAGTCTGGCCATCTGGCCGGGCTCTACCCAAAGTCCGGACATCTGTGCAAGATGCAGGCGCAGCCCCACTAACTGTGTTTCGGTATCTGTATCTGAACTCGGTTATTGCCAGCATCTGTAAATGCAACTTCAGACTGGCCTTAAATTTTCTATTTCGCAAACAGATTGCTAAGGCTTAACAATGCGAAAATACTTTTTTGTGCTCACTTATAGGGAACAAAAATTGGAGTAACTCATCCCAATAACTGATGGCTTAATATGGTACAATTAGCTAATTGCTCTTTTGTTTCTTAGCAATATTTACGCACTTGTGGGCAAGAGAAGTTCTTCGAAGGGCGAATCATGCGAAACATCACTTGCAATTAGTTTGCAATTGAAGCAGGTGGCGGAGAAATGGGATTCTATTGCAAAAATAATTCTCGGCAAATTGGCTGAAGCCTGAAAAGTTCACTCTCGATTTGTGCCAAGGCACTTCGTTGTCGGATTGTAATTAAGATTGATGTGTTTATATTCGACTCTTGCAGCGATTGTGTGGCATTTGACTTTGCCCAACTAAAAGCATCAACTCAACTGGCCTTCGTGTCGAGAAGTCCCGATTCGATTTCGTTTTCCACTTTCCACAGTTTGACTCCTCCACTTCCTTTGTAATTATTGATGAGCTTCGCTTTGACTTTTTGGCCATCAAGTGTATTAACGTAATTAGCCATCCATCCAAAACGTTAAGCTATTTCTATTCCTCCATTAA